TAACCATGACCCGGCAAGGCAATGCTGCGGCTAGTAAAGCTACCAGAACCCTGGCTTGCATCCATAGGTGCTTCTCAAGCAGATCCCAGGATGTCATTCTCCCCTTGTACTCAGCCTTGGTGAGGCCGCAGCTGGAGTACCGTGTCCAGTTTTGGGCCCCACAATTCAAAAAGGTTGTGGAGAAGCTTGAGAGAGTCCAGAGAAGAGCCACGCGCATGATCAGAGGTCAGGAAAACAGACCTTACGACAACAGGCTGAGATCTATGAGGCTCTTTAGCCTGGAAAAGCGCAGGCTCAGGGGTGATCTGATGGCCACCTATAAGTTTATCGGGGTGACCATCAGTATCTGGGGGAACGTTTGCTCACCAGAGCGCCCCAAGGGATGACAAGGTCGAACGGTTATAAGCTACTGCAAGACCATTTCAGGCTGGACATAAAGAAGAATTTCATTACTGTCCGAGCCCCTAAGGTCTGGAATAGCCTGCCATCGGAGGTGGTTCAAGCACCTACATTGAACACTTTCAAGAGTAAATTGGATGCTTATCTTGCTATGACCCCAGCTGACTTCCTGCCCTTCAGGCAGGGGGCTGGACTTGATGATCTTCCGAGGTCCCTTCCAGCCCTAATGTCTATGAAATATATGAAAAACCTGCAGCCGAGACTCCTGAGAAGACTCCAGCCAAGAACCCTTCAAAAAGTCCAACCAAGAGCCTTTCAAAAAGTCCAGCAGTCACCTCAAAGAAGTCCTTCCATCAATTTGATTGCTATTTACAATATGAATACATTAATGTAGATATTACTCATCTATAATTGGTCGAGTACAAGATTCTGGGGTATTTCTGGTGAAAATAGGATATTGGGCCTTGCTTCAGGAACCAATCCCCCATTTATAACATTGTTTCTTATGAGAAAATTGGTTCTGCGTTACAACATTTTGACTGAAGACGCGGTTTTCAGGAACCAATCGTGTCTTAAGTCCGAGGACTGCCTGTATTTGTGTTAATATAGCTGGATCTGATGATGGGTAGACTTGGGATATACTATATGTTCTTCTACAGTAACAATGGCACAGCTCTGCTTATAGCAGTGATTGTGAGAATGGTAGTATAGACTTGCCGGAGGAGAAATGGAGGGGTTAGCCGTTAACAGAACATTCCCTAGCCTGCCAATGAGCAGAGTAAATCACAGAGTAGCAAAACCCTGGGTGGCTGGTCTACACTAGTATTCTCCCCCTTGCTACCACTGGGGGAAGCTGTCTAGTCAAGTGCAATGAAAAATGTGTCTCCTACTCATTTGCCATTCCATGTATTTCAAGTTATAAAATGTGTAACTTCCTGTCGCAGGGGTTGGCAGCCTATGGGCCTTATACAGCCTGCAGATCCATTGGATCCAGCCTGCAGACATGGGATTTTGGTGGCATTTGCCAGTGAGGGATTTCAGACATGGATGCTCTCCCTGTGAGGGAGAAGTGCCAGCTTGGGGAGGAGGGGGCAGTCCTAGCACCTGCCTACCTACCTGCATCAGACCCAAGGTAGGCCCACAGCTGGAAAAGGTTCCCTACTGCTGTCCTATAGTGTTTGTGCATCAATACCAAGAACAAATTATTGTTTGGGAGGAGAAAAAGAGCAAGTCAGGGTATTAAGACCGTCTCTCTCATTCTCAAGAGAGGAGTGGGTACTTGGTAGCTGTGGTAGTTACCAAGGAAGAACCCTTGCTTGGCATTCTCTAGAGCTCACTGCACTCTGTGTCACTGAGCAAGTTCTTTTCCTCTTGGCAATGTTACATCTGTTCACAGAGGTAGGCCTCCCTAGGAGAGAAAGGAAAATCAAATAAATGCTCTGGCACCTACTTCTATATTTGTAGCTGGGATGTTGGAAACCAAGTCAGGTGTAATCATTATCCTCACCATGATGGGTTTTACTTAAATATATTTCAGCCAAAGGTGAGATTCTGTTCAGGGTGAAGCATCCAAATTATAGAAGAGGAAACAAGAAGAGCACTTATGTGCTCCACCTAATGATCCAGAGAGCAGGGTGGTGAGGTGTCTTGTGTCATGAGGGACAATCTTATAGAGAAACCAAAGGGAAGATCTGAGGAGAAGGAGAAGTGTACCTGAAAGGGAAGGGAGCTTTTGATCAGTAGGACTATCAGGAATGTTTCAGGGGCATGTTTCCAGATGTAGATACCTCCACTAGGAAAAGAGGGTGGAGGGGGTGTTATGAAGACTGCCACTTTGCAACAGGAGGGTCAGCTACCAGCTGACTCTAGGTCTACAGTTCTGAAATGGTGATAGCTGGTCACCCTGTGAGATAATGCAGACCATAATGGGGCTGGCTGCCTCTTATGAAAATTCAGAGTGAACAAAAAAGCCAGAGCAGTTCTTGCATTTAGCCTGGTGCCCCATATAAATAGCAGTTGCTGTCCACATGGAGTTTGTATGTGTACCCAGTAATTAAAACAGAATACAGTCCCAAAGATCAAATTCCAAAGAAATCCATACCTCAGCCACTCACCATAGCAGATGGAGTCAAAAGCCTGCTGTCTAGAATTCATCTTAGAGAATAATTCTTTGATTGACTATTTTCCCAATTCCATAATGCTGCTGAGAAAAAGGTGGTTTTGGTGCTTACTGATGAAAGCCCGTGTTTTACTGTCTTTAGATGTCCAGAGAGAGAAAATCCGTGCCCTGGAGCCCCTGAAATCTATGTTTGCAACTGTGTCAGATAAATGCACTCAGAAGATTTCAGCACTCAAGAAAGAGGAAAATGCTAAAATAAAGACATTGATGAAAGAGAAACTGTATCTATTAAAGCTCATTGATAAAATGAAAGAAGAGAAGGCTTCCCTTCAGGCTCAGGTAAACTGGGCCTATGATCAGCCAGTCATTTGCCAGACCATCTATGCTGTATAGAGACATACAACTTGGCCCTGCTCCAACTGAAGGCATTGGAAACGTCTCCATTTACTTGAAAATGTGGTGGTATGATGGAGAACTCAGTCTGACAATGATTCTAGGTCCCCATCATTCCTAACAAATATTATATTCCCTATATATCATGTGTTTAGTTGTGCTGTACTATCAGAACTTCTGAGCTATGTATATGTGTCCCTTTTGCCACTGCACTTAATTGCAACTGTGACAGAGGGCATTAGACCAGCAGTGACAAAGCCATGAATGAGTTATTTAGGTTGTCACCTGCGAGTTCTGAGAAAATATTTATACCAATCATGCTGCCACGCTGGTCCTGGGAGGTCCTTGGTTTCTGAGATCAGTGCAGCCTTCTGTCTCCTTCAGGTGAATAAGCTGCAGAAGAATGTGGCTGAGGAGTATCTGCACTACCGTAATGAGTGTGATGCCCGCAAGTTGCTTCTAGCAGACCTGAACGAAATGCGCAGTCAACAGTTGGAGATGACACTCCACCAAACACAAGGTACAGAAGGAACCCCTGTAAGACCCAAACACAGAGCACTCCTCCTCTTTGTGCAATAGGTGAACTGGGGCCAGACCCTTCAAAGTGCTGAGTGTCCTTAATGTCTCTTGACTCAGTAGCAGGTAGCCGAGTCAGGCACTTGGCAGCCTGCGGGATTGAACCCTCAGAATGGACCAACCTGGAGTTCAAGGGTCTTTAGCACTTGCATTTACAAAACTGATTGGAGTTTGTGACAGCAACATTGCCTGCCAGCAATGGCGACACTGAGTAAAATGGCTCCTGCATTACTACACCTGCTGATCTGCTAGATATTGGACACCAGCAGCCATAGTGTCCCCATGAGCTCCCTCTAAGGGGATTTGAATTTTCAGACATCCTTGTTCCTGATTTGTCCCCTGTCACTAATCTAAGATCCAACCTATGGCTTGGAATATGGGAGAGAAAGAGGGTAGAGGTATAGGCCTTCAAAGGATCATACTCTAAACACAATAAAGGCTCCTTGCCTGCCTGGAACTATAATTTATTAAATCTTGGCATTACAACAACAGGCAGGGGTGCCAGTGAGGACTTGAGCACTAGGCAAGTAAATACATAGATACTTCCTGCACAGAAAGATGTGCACTTAAAATTGAAGGTGACAGGTGATATACAATATCAAGGGGAAGGATATTGTTAGATATATACATGCACACAGTTTTAAAAATATAAAGAGGAAATAAATGCCAACCTCCATTCATTTATTTATAATGCTCAGTTGAAGAATTGTATGACTTAGGTGCTGTGTATGTCAGTATGTAACCCTCCTAATCCCAACCCCTGTGCAATCTTTGTTATTGTGGTATAAGATCCTTTGGGTCAGATCATCATATATGCTTGTACAGCCCTTGTACAATGAGGCAGGAGTTCTGATTCCTCATAAGAGATCAGCCTTTCGAGATCATTACTCCGTAACCAGCAGAACACATCACATGGACAAGGGCTGAGGAGAAAGAACTGAATAGAGGCGCTCTTGAAATGGGAACAGGGAGAGATGTTAGATCAATCTTATGAGTTGCATGATACTACAGAAGGGAATTAATGCCCAGACCTGCAACAGGGCTAACCCCAGCAGTTCAGAAGTCATCAGTCAGAGCCCCCAAATCATGAAACTTAAAAAAAAAAAAAAAAAAAAAACCCTAAAAAACCAAAACCAAACAACCTGATACCTTGGTTCTGGTCTGGCTTTGGACAGGAGGACTCCTCCTGCCCATCCCCCACCCCCACCATTCATGTGACAATCTTGCTGCCAGCTCTCTGGAAGGCATTGAGCAAGGTGATGCTGGTGGTGCCAGCTCTGCCCCGGGAGCTCTTGTGGCTGCCTGAGTGTGCAGAGCTCATCACTTCACCCCACACAAACCACCTTCTTTGTTAATGTTTTGTCCCCACTCCTCCAGCTGTTCCTCCCCCAGTCCAGCAATTGAACATGTTCTGCCCTCTCCCCACCTTACTCCTGCTTCTCCTGCAGCTCTTAGGGCTCTTTACCTGCCTCTCCTCCTCCCCAAGCCAGGTGTAGAGATCCAGAGTGGGGAGGGAGGAGAGAGCAGAAAGACCTGTTGTTCTTAGCACGGTGGGGGGGAAGGAAGCCATCTCAACCTGCCAAGCTCTTTTTGCTCTGTCCTCCCAATCCCTTTCTGTGCATACAGTAGGGGTTCCTCTTTTCTCTCCTCCCTGCACAAAACCTCCTATCTTCTGAAGAGGAGGGGGAGGGCTCTGGCCCTTTCCTGCAGCTGCCCTGGTTGGTTGCTCTTCCCAAAAAGACAGGTAAGTGGGACAGTCAACCAAGCAGGGATACACTAGCTTGTAACACTGGCTACAGTGAAAATTGTGTGACTGCAATTGTGACTCCCAAAGAAATTATGAGAGCTGGAAAGGCTGCACTGTCTTGAAGTTGTGGAGGTGGGGAGCTCAGCCATTCAGAGCGTCTGACCATGTTAATGATACTCTAAGAGACTGATGGGGAATACCGCCCTCCAAAAGTTGCAAGTGCAAGTTTGCACTTCTGACCTTTTGCCTGACAGTGTTACCAATTGTTTTTTAAAGATGTAAAGAGTGAAGACATAGTGAAGTTAACGCTGGCATTAAAGATAGCTCGGCGGGACCTCACAAAAGCCCAGGTGGAGCTGAACACCATGAAAGCAGACTATGGAGATGTTGTACCTCGGAGAGATTTTGAATCACAGGAGAAAAAATATTCTGACTTGTGTCAACAGGTAATCATGAGGATATGCCCTAGTTTTCAAACCATACTGTGCAAATACCAACTCCCAGTGTTCAGGCTGAGGCAGAAACAAAACAAAGTTAGAGGGTAATCTCTCCAATTCCAGTTGATCCCACAGTGCATCTGGGACTTGATAGTGTCTCTGACAATACTTAGGTGTGCATAAATTAAGAGAATTGGTAACAAAGAAGCTTCCACCTGTTAGCCCTGTTGATAGTTTGTATCTTAAACGTATCAGTATTTTAATGCATGTAATTCATCTCCACAAATTGGCTATGGGGATTTGACTGGAAGTTAGAAGAAGAAGGTCTGATAGAACTGTCTGATTCTGTAAAAGCCTCCAGTGGGATTAGAGGGTGGCAGAACCCCAATCACTTTTAAAATGATGTTAGATATGTTTCTGGAAGGGTTACACAACTGTGATAGCAGGGAGCTGGACTCGATGATCCAGGAGGTCCCCGATAGCCCTTTGCTCTTAGGTAAATGTGCTTGCCATAGAACAAATATAGAGCAGAACCTGAGAGGATTCACCCACTGCTGGCTTTGATTGCCTTTTGGCCAAGGTCAAGTAGGGTACTGTACAAACTTGTGTGTTTTTTTTTCTAGGATAAAGGTTGCACAGTGTAACCCTGTGTTCAAACTACAGTACCTCCTTGCTCTCTTTCAGCTACTTACTGGGGGCAGCTGTAGGAGACACTTAGTGCAGAATTGCCTAATTAGCTCTGCAGTAAAGCATCTTCCTGCAAAGCTATTAGGCCAGAGTAAACTAATTAGCTCTGTCATAGGTTAGTACTGCCCGAGACAAATACTATCCTATGACAGCTATTTACTGCACCACAATGCACTAACATTGGTGGTGACAAGGCTGGCTGGGGCATGAAGGTGCTCTAATACAGGGGCTGCCTGCCTGTTAACCTGCACTGTAGCACCCTCATGCCCCAGCCAGCCCCTCGCAGCATGTTGAGCTGGGTCGGAGCAGCCCCGAGTTGGCAGGCTGATCCCCTGGGGCCCCCTGCCAGCCAGGGCTGTGCCACCTGGGCTAAATGTGCTGTGGTCTTGGTCACAAGTGTAAACACTGCACCTGGGAGCAATAAACTCTGGCATGAACTGTGCCAGAGTTTATGGTGTCTGACTAGTTTCACATGTAGATGCACCCACTGAGTCAAAAAGACTTCCACAGAGCTCTCCACAATACTGAATGAATGGATGAAGCAGGCAACTGCATGTCACAGTATAGCTCACTAACCCCGTGTTGTTTAATGTATTCCATGGTTGCCTGTGATTGCAGGGGCTGTTGCAGAGGCTTTTAGGCCTCCAGGCTTGTCCACAGCACCCCTTAGTGATCACACTGGGCTGCACTCCTATTTCAGCTCTAGCACCAACCTCCCAATTTGCCTGCCAGTGCCTGATCTTAGTTTTATTTTTTACATTTTTAACACACACACACACTTGGAGGCTGCCTTCAGAGAAAGCTGAAGTTAGGTGCCTGCTCCACACCACTTATTATTGGGCCACTAGTCTGTTCTGATCCTCCAACCCTATCTTAGTGGAGCCCTGGGCCCTCTCTATCAGGTCCATGGGCTCAGGTTCTCTCCCTTTGAGGCCTGCTGGGCTCCAGGCCCACCCTTTTTCAGTATCTAGGCTCCAGCTGCTCAGTGGCCTCCTCCCATCCCCATAGACACAACCTGATCTTCAGGTGGTACAATAATAGACACAAATATGCAACTCAAATCCCTGAACTACAGGCCAGTGTCTGCCAGTCTTGCTGTGGTGAGCTCCTTCCCATGGCTGGCAAGGATCAGACTGAGGTCCCCCTAGGGAAACAAGACCCCAGACCCACCCTCTATGGTCATCTGACTAACCTCTATGCCATTATGCACATTAACCCCACCTTGCAGCCTCTGAGCTCTGAAGCCTGATTGCCTCCTGCGCACCTGGGCCAGAGTGACTGGTCCCGTCTTTCTTTATTCCCAGCAATCTTTGTAGTGCCTTGGGGCCTGCTCACAGCTTTCTACTTCCCCTGTCTTCAGTAATGGGGAAGGGGATCCTGTTACAGCTTAGCTGCAGTGACCCAAGTAATACTTTCCTCTCTTGTGTTTGTATGTAACTGAAATGATCACTCATCTGGCAATTTTCTGTGCCTGCCTGGCTATGCAGCTGTCTGTCCCATTGCTAGCAGACAGTCTCTAGCCTGCTGCAGCTCAAGGGTCACCAAGCTGTTAATATGTTAGAAATCTGATTAGAGATATTTTCCTGTATGGTGGCAATGACTAATGTAGCCTTTGCTATACTTGTCTCTTCTTTCTTGAGCACATTTTAAGCACCTGGGTGGGAGCACACCCATGCAGGAGCAATGGTGTCTGTCCTACAGGACAGTACAGGAATGATGGGTGACAACCAGCGAAGTCCAAGACTTAATCTTGGCTTTGCTCCCAAGCCCTTAGTGTTCCAGAGGTCACGCAGTCCACCCCCAAGGGAGGGGGAGAACAAACCACATAAAACAGACAGGAGTCACAGCACTTAGTGCACAACTAGAAGGTGTTCAGATACTTTAGCTGTGGGGGTGGGATGAGAACAAACAACCAAAGAGACATAAGTGCAGTCCCACTGGTTCCTTCAGTGTGTCATTTTGGGTTGTGCATTGGGTCCTAGGTGCTGGACACAAAGGAGAGAATGGAGGATTCTCTGAAAATGAACCTCTTCTTCTCTGAGTGAAACAAAGAACTAAGATGAACATGTAAACTCTGGTGTGAGAAGCACTGGTGTTTATTCAAGTGTATTAATATGGTAGACACACCCTCTGAGAGGCTATCAGGGGTCTGAGTTACAGATGGCAGCAAATATTAAGTTTAAAACAAAACTTTTTTCCCTCCCTGCCAAGGCTTTGGGGTTTTGTCTCTTGTAATACCATCATCCCAAAAATGCACCAGTCCTTTGAAAAGTCTGGCAACAAAATGGGATATTTAGAGTGGGAATTCTCTATATTTGTTCTGTGTTCTTTACTTAAAAAGGAAAAAGTGGGCATCAAACAACATTTTTTTCCTAGAAACAGTCAATAGAATAAAAATAAAGTAGGTAAAAAACATCCTAATTTATTGCAGTTCATCTTTAAAAATGAACAATTCTGCCTTTTAGAATCAGCGCAAACCCTTGAGGCTAGGAACAGACATTCAAAAAGCCTGAGCCTGAATTGATTCAATCTTTACAGGTTAGTCTAACCTGGCTAGGTTAAATCACTTTATAGCTGCAAAGACATCCCAGACATGTAGGCGCATGCCTTCAGTGGCTCGGGCTAGAAGCCAGTGGGGTGGGGGAGGAAGGGTGGTGTGTGCGGGGCACTAGAGCAGCCCTCCCTTTCCTTCTACAGTACTGAGATGAGGGGCAGCATGGCCAGGCCCCAGCAGGATGCTTTGTTTAGACCAGCAGGGAATCAATAACAATGTTTAATCACCCCTGACTCAGTGTTTATCACCTCATTAAGAAAACAAGAGAGGGACCTTACCAGCTACCTGTTGATTCTGCCTGTTGAGTCTACCTGTTGACTCAGCACAGACCGCAGCCAGCATGTGGTCTGTTAGCTAATACATAGACAGCTCTCATCAAGGCAGAAGGGGAGGGGGGAATTCCTGTTCACCCAGGAGTGGTGAAGGGGGAAGCAGCCTGCAGTCTGTGCCGGAGCTGCAGCCAGGGAGCAGAGGGGCAGGGCCAGCCCTGCTGTGGAGCAGAGAGCCCTACCCAGGCCAGAGAGCATGCCGGGATACTGGGGGAATCTGATTTATCTTAAACCAGCAAGGGGTCTGGGACAGTCATTGCATAAATTGGTTTGTCCCAAATCAGTTAAGTCTGATACTACATTCAACCAGGTTTATCTCAAACCAGTTTCAGCCACTTTCAAAGTGGTTTATGGGCACAGAACATCTGCTCTGTTACAGGTTTAAACCAGTTTGTGTGTAATGTCTGTCCCTAGCCTGAGAGATTACAGACCCCAGCATACAATTTTCTGCTTGTCTCAGGTGGCCACATGGAGGACTGAACACAGGCCACACTGCCTCTTTGTCCTGCCTCTCCTTTCTGAAGAGGAGTAGCAATGGACCCCTTCTTTAGAGGGCTGCAGACTATTCATAGCTCACCTGAGCTGCTCTTTGCAGGATAAACTTTAGTCCAGAGAAAAACAAAGTGACTAAATAAGAGAGAGCTGAGGTTTTTCTCTGTTCTGCTTGCCATTATGGTTTAGACAGAGACCCTGCAGAAGGACTTTGATCAGCTGCAGAAGGAGTATGACACTCTGCTGGAAGTCCATGGAGAGACTGTAGAAGAGCGAAACCGGTTCTACAATGAACTCCAGCAAGTTCTGCGCAGCTCAACACCCCGGCCTGACTGGGCAAAGTGTGCAGGTACAAAGCTTTCTGAGGAGTCCCATCTCAATGTGTTGTGAGATGCTGGATTTGTTAACCTCTGGGCACCCCATTTTTCCTTCCAGACTTTGAGTGAAGAGGCGGACTTAGAAGTGGAGGGTCTCGGTTGTCATTTATCTTGTACATTTTACTGCAGGGTCTAGGCACCCACAGGGGGCTCATAGAGTAGAACCTGGATACTTCATAAAGTTAGGTTCCTTATCCCCTCTCCAGATGAAGGTTTGTGAGGCATCTGGAAGTGCACAGAGCCACAGCAGACATCTGCAGCAGGCCATTGAGGTGCCCTAGATGTTTTCTGTGGCTTTTATTTCAAAAGGGCACTACTTTTCACATCAGCTGTGTGGGACTGCTAGTGAGCTCATCCTTAGTTCAGCAACCCATTGTAAATTGAGTAGGTTGTGAATCTTCTTTGGCAATCTCCCACAGTCAAGGATGATAGTCTTATCTGTGGGTTCAAAGATGGCTGATAAGGCCTATCTGGGATCAACAGACTCTCCTGCAGCTCGGACACATTTCCATGTCGGGTGGATGGCACTGAATTCTTGGTCTTGTCTGTGACACGCTGTCTTCTGCTCCCACTTTTCCATCTCCTGTTGTTGTGAAGTTTCAAAATACTGAGATCCTTTCATAGATTTCATAGACATCAGGGCTGGAAGGGACCTCGGAAGATCATCGAGTCCAGCCCCCCGCCCAAAGGGCAGGAAGTCAGCTGGGGTCATAGGATCCCAGCAAGATAAGCATCCAGTTTCATCTTGAAGGTGTTCAAGGAAGGCGCTTGAACCACCTCCGGTGGCAGGCTGTTCCAGACCTTGGGGGCTCGGACAGTAAAGAAATTCTTCCTTATGTCCAGCCTGAAATGATCTTGAAGTAGTTTGTGACCATTCGACCTCGTCATCCCTTGGGGCGCTCTGGTGAACAAACGTTCCCCCAGATGCTGGTGGTCACCCCTGATAAACTTGGAGGTGGCCATCAGATCACCCCTGAGCCTGTGCTTTTTCAGGCTAAAGAGCCCCAGGGCTCTCAGCCTGTCATCGTAGGGTCTGCTCCCCTGACCTCTGATCATGCGCGTGGCTCTTCTCTGGACTCTCTCAAGCTTCTCCACATCCTTTTTGAATTGTGGAGCCCAAAACTGGACACAGTACTCCAGCTGCAGCCTCACTAAGGCCAAGTACAGGGGGAGAATGACATCCCGGGATTTGCTTGAGAAGCATCTATGGATGCAAGCCAGTGTTTTGGTCGCTTTACTAGCCGCCGCATCGCATTGCAGGCTCATGTTCATCTTGTGGTCAATGATGACCCCCAAGTCTCTTTCTTCCATAGTGCTAGCCTACATAGCACATCCTTGCAGCAGACTCTTCCTCCATTTGGGGTGGTCCTGAGTGATAGTCTCCCGTGAGCTGACATCAATGTTACATTTTTTAAAGTTGGCCTTGAGGATGTCTCTGAAGCACTTTCTCTGTCCTCCTCTTGAGTATATGCCTTGGCTGAGCTAGGAGAATAGAACTTGCTTTGGGAGTCTGGAGTTGGACATCCAAATGACATGGCTGGCCCAGCGAAGTTGATGTTGGATGATCATCACCTCGATACTCATGGTGTTTGCTTGCAGGAGGATGCTAACATTGGTGCATCTCTCTTTCCACTGGATTCAGAGGACCTTCTGCAGGCAGCATTGATGGTACTTCTCCAACAACTTTAGATGTCTCCTATACATTGTCCATGTCTCATCTCCATACAACAACATGGGGATCACGACTACTTGATAAACCATGAGCTTGGTTTTAGATCTGATATTGCGATCTTCAAATACCCATTTCTTCAGGTGTCCAAAGGCTGTACTTGTACATTTGAGGCAGTGTTGGATTTTTTTGTCGATGTCAGACTTCTGCAAGAGATGGCTTTCAAGGTATGAAAAATACTCATCATCCTCCAGAGTCTCACCATGGAATGGATTACTGGACCTGGGGACTGTTCATTAGGAGCTTGTTGGTGGAGGACCTTAGTCTTCCAAATGTGAAACATCAGTCCCATTTTCTTGCATGCTACAGTAAAGACATTGAGGATTCCCTGAAGGTCTGCTTCCAAGTGAGCACACACTATAGCAGGCGTGGGCAAAATACAGCTCACGGGCTGCATACAGCCCACCAATGGACTGGATCTGGCTTGTGGCTGCCCCTGCAGCGCTCCACATGGGGTCATACCTCACACACTCCTGCCAAGGCAGCCTGCACCAGACTCCTGGTCGTATCTGCTGGTCCGGGCCCCAACTAGCACATACAGCTTCCAGCATGGCTGTTCCTGGTGCTGCTCTGCTCCCTTTGCCTCCAGTGGGTGCTGTCCAGCTGAAACTTCTCCCCATCCCACTGACCCAGAGCAGTGCAGTAGGGGCAGGAGTGGGAGGAGGAGCCACCACTGGAGGCAAGGAGAGCAGAACACCACCTGGCCAGCTGTAGCTGCACCAGGAACAGCCCCATTGAAAGCTGCATGCACTTGGCAGGGCATGAGCAGATCACACCTGTCCTCCTCCCGAACACTGCTCCCCACCTGCCTAAAGCTCCATAGGGATTTTTGGTGAATTGTTGCTTGGAGGAGGAGGGAGGTTGCTAACCCAGCCTGCAGCAACTCATCACAACTCCCTATGTGGCCCTTGGGCCCAAATAATTTCCTACCCCTGCACTACAGCATCATTAGCATACTTGGAGCGCAATGATTGAGGTTGGGGTGGTCTTGATTTTGGCTCCGAGTCAGCTGAAGTTAAACAGCTTACCATCCATCTGGTAGTTTAGTTCTGCTCCGGCTGAAAGCTGTTGGTGGTCAATTGTAGCATCATCACAAGGAATACTGAGAAGTGTTGGAACGATGATGCTGCCTTGATTAAACTCCCATTTTAACCTCAAAGGGATCTGTGATAAATCCATTACTGAGAACCACCACTTACATACTGTCATGGAGCAGGTAAAGAATGGTGACTAATTTCGGTGGCCATCCATACTTCAGAAGAATCTTCCACAACATTTCTTGGCTGATAGAGTTGAAAGCTTTCATGAGGTCAAAGAAGTCAATGTAAAGAGGCTCATGTTGTTACCAGCATTTCTTCTGCAGCTGGCAAGCTGTGAATATCATGTCAGTTGTGCCTCTTGATACCCTAAACCCACACTGAGATTCCAGGAGGAGCTCTGCAGCAAGTGGAAGGAGACAGTTCTTGAGGGTTCTCACAATGATCTTTCCTGTGGTGGACAGCAAGACAATCCCTCTATAGTTTCCACAGTTAGACTTGTCTCCTTTCTTGAAGATTGTCACAATTATGGCATCCCTGAGGTTGTCTGGGATTTCCTCATTATTCTGGTTCCTTAAGATGAGGGCATGAAGCTGTGATGCAAATTCCTCTCCCCCGACTGGAAGATTTGCATGGGGATTCCATCCACTTCAGATGCCTTGTCATTCTTCATTTGTTTGATGGCTTTTCTCACCTCATCAAGGTTGGAAGGATTCCAAGATTGTCTCTGACTGGGTCTTGTGGATGGACTTGAGAACATTCTCATCAACAACAGAGTCTAGATTGAGGAGGTCTTCAAAATGCTCCTTCCAACAGGTATTGATGGCTCCTGTTGGAAGGAGCCATCAATACCTGTTTTTTTGATCAGGTCTTCTCCATCCTTAGGTCTCAAAGGGGTTGGTCCCTGAGTACTTGGACTGTAGATGGCTTTGGTGGCACTGAAGAAATTGCACGTATCATGGCTGTCAGCAAGATGTTGAATCTCCTTAGCCTTGTTTTCCCACCATCTGTTCTTCATATTGCAGGTCCTCCTTTGAGCTTCTGCCTTGGCTTGTTGGAGATTCAATTTCTTTTGCTTGTAGATGGTGTCATTTTGCCAAGCACAAAAGGCCTTGTACTTGTGATTGATCAACTCTTGGATCTCCCAGTCATTCTCATCAAACCAGTCTTGATATTTCCCAGCAGAGAATCCAAGTGCCTCTTTACAGGCACTGATGATGGTGGCCTTGAGGACACCCCACACACTGCTGACATTCTCCCATTGTTGTTGATTAGAATTCATCAGTTTTTCATTGAGGCACCGATGAAAGAAGTCTCATTTGCTTGGGTTCTTGAGTCCTTCAATGTTGATCTTCCATCAGCATTGCTTCTGCTGCAGCCATCATTTGGGAGCCAGTTTGAGTGACATAACTAAGCAAATGAGTCAGTGACCAGTCCAACAATCATCAGCTCCTAACATAACTTGGATGATGTGGACATCTTTGTGATCCTGGGAACAGACGATGACATAGTTAATCAGGTGCCAATGCTTAGATCCTGAGTATTGCCACGATGTCTTGACTGTTTTTCTGGTGGAACAGCTTGTTGGTGATGATGAGTCCATGTTCTATGCATTTGGTCAAGAGAAGGAGGACACTGGAGTTGACCTTTACTACTTCTTTGCCAATAGTTCCATTCCAAAGGTCCCTTCTGACTCTGGCACTGAAATCACTGAGAATAAGTCTGTCTTCCTCCAAAATGTCAGAAAGGACTTGGTTAAGGTTGGTGTAGAATCCCTCCTTGGTTTCATCAGTGGCATCAAGAGTTGGGGCATACACGCTGTTGATGGAAGCATATTGGCTCTCACCAATTTAAGATGGAGAGTCATGAGGCACTCATTAGCTCCAATAGGGAACTCACTGAGCTGGTTTATGAGTTCTTCCTTAATGGCAAAACCAACTCCGTGAAGTTGACCTTCTCCTTCCTGTTTGCCCTTCCAAAAGAAGGTATAGCCACCTCTATGTTCTTTGAGCTATCCATCTCCTGCTCACTGGGTCTTGCTCAGCGCAGCTACATCAATGTTGTGTCACTTGAGTTCTCAGGCCATGATTGCAGTGTGGTGCTCTGGGTGTTCACTATTAGGGTTGTCCATGAGGGTCCTGATGTTCCACGTCCCAAAAATGATGGTGTGTCTTACTATTTAGACTCATGAATTAGTCTTTACTCTATCCATCCCCCCCCCGGGATGGCCTGTTATAAAGTCCATCAGTGTCTTCCTTAATCACTTTGCCAGCAGTTTAATCAGTCAACTGATACCTTTCAGGGAAGTGTCTCTAGGGTTGGCACCACCTTATCTTATGGCTGGGCTCCTACTGGCCAATAGGAGCTGGCTTTGGCGTCCCATGACCTGGCTCTTCCACATGTTGGCCACGGAGGCTGCCATGTCCTCCCCAGATGTCATCATCTCAGCTCCCTCTGCTGGTGCTTCACCTCCTGCTAGGTCCCCCAGCATGTCTGGGTCTGGTGAAGCTCTCTGGACCATAACAGGGCCCAAGATTGCCCTGTTACAGGGACCTTGATCCAGTGGCAAGGAGACCAAGACACCTGAGGGTCTTGTTCCACTGTAGCTTTCATCTGCCTTTGCAGCCATTGAGATTTTAACATCTTCTTCCACCTGCTCAACCATTGAGGAATTGTAGACCTAAGGTTGGGGCTAGGCATGCTTACTATAGTGATGACCTGTACTTGCATGTCACAGCACCATCAAAGGATACATGTTTCCACCTCCTGCCCTCACCACATCTTGGTGGTGCTGCCTCTGCTTAGTCTGCAACTGCTTATTCATCAGAGTTACCCCTGCTTATTTCACAGCTAACCTTCCCTGAAGGTCATTCCACTGTCTGCCACCTGTGGATGTGCTGGGTAGCAGTACAGCTCTGCCCCACAGACTGTGGAACACCTGGATGCGAATGATCTGGGTTCTGGTGTATGTTCATGTTCAACTTTATGCTCAACTTGTGGCATGCTGGTGAGATGTTTGTTTCTATTCCTGCAGGCGTTGTTCCTGGTGGCGTGGACCGGTGGAGATTTCTGGCAGAGGGGAAGACCAGTAACCAGCTGGTGGACCTGCTTCTGGAGGAAATGGGAGCAGCAGTTCTGAGAGAGAAGGACTTCTTCCCTGGGCTGGTACAGACAAGCTGCTTGTGGCAAACAGGCAGCACTTTTCTCCCATGATTAGTTGGTAATACACATCTGACTGCTAGCCAAGTAAGGAAGACCGTTCCTTTTTGAAATTCCAAAGCTGCTTCCATGGCTGAAGCAGCAGTTCTGTAAAGTCCTTCTTCAAGGGAAATAGGCCACTTGCATAACACAAACTTAAATACTTAAATACTCCCATTAGAGGTGAAACCACAGCAATTATCGGGATGAGAGAATTCAGATGGCTTATACCTCAGAAAGTTACTCACAAATGAGCCCTAGCTCTTGTATTCTGTGAACATGGGTTCTTTGCTGGCTCCATTTGATACGAATTCATGCTGTGTCTATCTCTTTTGTGTTATTTAGGGCAAGGGTGACAAGGTTCCTGTGTACCTGAGGTATGAAGGCCAGGTCAAGAACAGGAAGCTCAACAAAAAGAATGTAGTGAACATCTTGAAGGACCTGTGGAAAGAGAGAATCTCAGCACACCAGCAGGTTCTCTTTTCCCCCTTATCCCGCCACTAACGACCACATGATGCTATTCTCATAGTTCCTGTGACAATCCTGCCATCTGGGAAGTCCATTAGTGTCTCTTCCTGAACACATCAGTAGAGGAGGTTGTAGGAGTCTGTCCTCCAGCCCCAAGGCCCAGGGCCACTGCTGGGGACTGTTTGGCACTGATGTGGGGAGTGATGGCACCTAAAAAACAAGGACACCAGGATGATTATGCAGTGTCCTGCTGCCCTGCTGTTGTGCCAGCCATTCTCCCAGGCTTAATAGGCATAAAACACACCCAAGTACAGGTTTGTGGACTGTGGGAAAGCAACAAGCTTAACTGCAGTCAGTAGTACAGATCAGACATTTTTAGAGTGACCCTGGCAAGGTGCTCTGCTATTACACAAAGACCTGGCTCAGTTCGCCTTGCTTGTCCAGCAGGGACTGGCTGTGTTGTATAGGTTTGTGCTCACCTTTTGGTGTGACACAGGTGGATTCTGAAGGAAATCCTATCCGCCCCGTCTCTGACCAGCAGATCAGTGCCCAGATGTGCTGGCAGAATTTGGGAGGTAGAGTGGGGAGAAAACATGCTTCAACAGGGACATGGAGAGCCCTACCAGAGTAAGAGTGGGGAAGGAGTAATGGGAGATTTAGGGCTCAGCCCCATATGGAAAGTGGCTGTGAAGCTCTATTTTGTTGAGACGTGAGGAGTGACAGATACTTTCCAGACCCAGGAAAATGCTGGAGTTATGGTGCTCTGCCTATATGCAGATGAGCACAGGAGAGGGAAGGTGGTTTGGTTCTTCTGCATTTCTGAAGAGATCAAGCCCCAACGGCCTCACATTGGTTTCTGGAGCTTTCACTTTTTTTTTTTCCCTCCAGACAGGGTGGCAGTCTAGCCTTCCTGAGTTCTTCCTTAGCTACCTCCAGAAGAGGTATGGAGATGCCTCTGCCTTCGAGATGGCTTACAGCATCTATGAAAGTATTAAGCTGTATCGATCAAATCATGTCATGAGTTTGTCCTATGACATCCTGACTGGAAAGGTGAGCAGCTCTGGCACCTGCATGAAAGACTTTAGCTCCCTTGAATGTGAGATAGAGGTCAATGGGAGACCAGTCCTGTGAGGAGCTGAGCACCCTCATATCTCATGGAAAGTGGTGGGGCTGAGGACACTCAGTACTTTGGGGATCAGACTAGGGATGGGGGAGAAGTAAATATCAGTAACAGGAGGTGCCAGAGAGCAACCATGTCCTATGTTAGTGTGACACACACAACCAAGCTGTTACTGCTAGCCTCTCTTCTCTTAGGTGCCCCGATTCCATCATCTCTCTCCTATCTTGGCAGTCAGACTCCATATTTGACTTAGTTATATTGTTACAACTCCGTTCACTTTGGTGGGTCATCCTGGAAATTCCAGACACCTGGACCCTTCCCCTACAAGCCATAACTCCCTACTAGTGTTGCTTGGAGCTCAGGGGCCCAGCTCCTTTGCTGCCTCTCAACTCCATAGGTGCAAGAAGTATTACTACCTTTCAGGATGCCTTAGGCTTTACTTCTCAGGGCTCTTAGGCATTTCACACTGTTGCACTGTTATCCTGTACCTGCAGCTGCTTCTGATACTATAGAGAACCAGCATGTTGGAAGTTATATGTGCCCTGATCAAAAATGGAGGTCAGACATGGTTACCAGGCACCATCAGGTCCAGCAAAGGCCTCCATCGTCCCTGGCCAGGAAGCTGAGTTATGTATATTCACTTCACGTGGGCCTCTCACATGAGGTCTTAAAAGTAGAGCTCCAGCCTGCTTTCATTAGAGTGAAGGTTTGCTGCAGTGCCCTTCGCCAGCATGCCCGCATTGTGCTGTACTGCGTGCTGGTTATCTGTTACCATTGCCCACCCCAGCATGGGTTGCACATTGTTGGACCTGCATGTTATGGGAAGTGAACCACTTTGGAACAGGGGGGTGTTCTGCAACCAATTATTTTAACAACATCCTGGTGAGGCACGACACAGCATTCTTACAAATAGTTAAGTCACTTGAAAATGCCGAGATTGAAGGTGTTATAGAGGAAGGCTGTCTCTATGTGGTACCAGCAGAAGTCATGGTCCACCTTCCCTTTACTGCCTTGTCCTTGATTCTGCATCCTGAAGATAGTCCAGAGGTGGAAGCTAGTGTTTGTATTGAGTCCCAACCCTTGCTTTCCCACAGGTGGATGAAGGTGTGTACCATGGCCTGAACCAGATGCTATCCAACTTGCTAAAGGAGTTGACTGCAATAGACAGCTCAAACAGCGGAGCTGTTACCAGTAAACAGTTCAAGTGAGAGACCAGTGGGCTGGGTAGACTACTTCTGTTTGAGCCCTGCTGTACTTTTATACTGTTCCAATCATGGCCTAAGTCTCTGGCATATGCACTGTGCTGACAAAGGACACAGATCACTAGGAGCAATTTTCATTTCTCCTTCTAGAGCCAACTTCTTCCCACAGACAGTTGTGTACAAATACCACTCTGAGGGCAGAACCTAGCTTTTACCTTTATGTACACACCTCTGTATAAGAATCAAGCTTACCCTAGCCTGAACACCATGCAGTATCCTGGTAGTGACAGTATGAGTCTCCATGAGGGATAGGATTTTTGAAAAACTCCAGATCACACTTCCAGGTGCCCATGCCTACAGTTAGCAGCAGACTTTCAGAAGCATTCAGCACACCTCCTTGTTTCCATTGTACTGAGGGGTGTAAAAGTCTGGACACTTAATCGGATACCTAACTGAGTCTCAGCTTTTTGAAAACCTGGCCCTGATTGTGGTTGCAAAGCACTTTTGCTGTAGGGGTATGTCACGCGCGGGGTCCAGTAGGATGGCCGTGATCTCCCTAAGGCCCCCTTTACCGTGCCAAGTTGACCCAATGGGCACCCGACTCTCGCCCACCATGTCTTTGATGACAAAATATACTCGGGAGGCTGCCTTTTATGTCCTCTTGGTCACGTCTTGCTAGACACTTGGACCCCGTGGTTTCCTGGACCCTCATGGGTCCCGCTTTGCAACGAGTGCTTCAGGGGAACCCTAGCCTTATGGGCTATGCGTGGCTCCAACCACCCCTTTACCACACCCCAAGCCTCACAGCTGGAATTGACGTTGCTAGGTCAGGGCCTCGTTTATAATCTGGCCCCCTTGTCCACTCCAGGCCTTGCCTCTTTTGATCTGCGCTCTCTCTGGCGCTAGGGCTCTCCACGGCCCAGTCTCACTCTATGCCCCGCTCTCCTGGGGCTTCTCAACGTGCTGCCCCCCTCTCCTGGGGCTCACCACACCCACACTGGGGCTTCTCCTCAACGTCCCCTCTCTGGGGCTTCTCAACTGCCCCCCCTTTCTGGGGCTGGGGTCAGTGCACCCCAACTGCTGCGCCCTCGCCGGCACTGGGGTCCCCACACTGCTGTGGGTCCCCTATGAGGCCTCCTCCAACCCCTAGTAGCCTCACCCAAACCACCAGTGACAAACAGCAAACAAAACGCAAGCCCCTCGGCTATAACACAAACTGAAGCCGCCCGGCTACAACAACATTCCAGCCTACCGGGGAATACTCCATCCCTCAGCCGTGTCAGACGCTGCTCCTTCAGTCAGGCTTCCCCTCTCTTCTCTGAGAGAGCTCCTTCCCCTTTGGCCACTGGCAGAAAAGTGCTAGACTGGCCTCAGCCCCTGGACTTTATAAGGGAGACAGGCCCTGCCCCTTCTGGTCAGCTGACCTCCTCTGGTTGCCCTGGCAACCAGCAGCTGGGCTTGTCCCTCACTGCTAGGGCTCCTTCCCTAGCAGTTTTCTCCCTTCTTAGGAGAAGCACCTCAGTGCTCTGCGACAGGGTATTTTTTCCAGTCAAGCAACCATGCTGTAGCAAGTGGTAACTGCCAGATGACAAGAGAATCCCTTAGAGATGTCCCATAGCCATCTAAGTGGAATAGACTTAGCCCTTCAGGAGGAAATGTGTGCAGTGTTACACACATTGTTACAAAGCTATTGGTTTTACTGGAGCACTGTCAGACCATCAGCATTCACAGCTGAAGCCAGAATTGCAAGATATCAGCATCCAATATAACTCCAATGCACTGAGTTCTTGCTGAAAATTCAGACATTATTTTGGTGCCTGAATGAAAATCAGGCCCTGATCACAAATGCCAAGCTCTTGAAAATCTGCCACCAGGAATAGTGGCAAGTGTGGGTGCTACCACAGATGGCCATGGGGCATTGGAGGGGATGAGTGCTCTGTGTACATGTCTATAGCAACAGACAACTAACTGGCGATGATCCTGTCTCTCCTGATACAGTCTGGCACTGAGGGCAGCTTTCCCACTGAAAAGTAATGAGCACGTCCAAGAACTAATAGAAGCCAGCAAGTGCAAGGCAGAGAGCACTGAGGACCTCATATTCTACACAGCCTTATTCAATGAGGTGAGCTGAAAATTTTCATTCTGTTTGAGGTTTCACCAGTGAAGGAAGAATGGTTGAATGCAAGCATTTTGCTTTGGATTAATGTAACTGGGGTCACCACTGGAGTAGGCATGTCCTAAAGGCAGCCTGCAGAGGCTTGGGTCCATTCCGAACTGTGATGGGAAAAGAAGGCCTTGAGGCTTTTTCCATCTTGGCTTTTCTCATTATAAGTGTAGGCCTTGTCTTCCCTGAGGGACTTACTGGTGCCTTGAGAACTAGTGAGGACCTCACAAGCATTGAGTCAAGGAGGAAAGGATTCTGCTGACTGTGGATGTGTCTATATGTGCCAATGCACCTTTTCTAATGCGCATTAAATTTAGCACCTCCAATGTGATGTACTGTATTCATGCACATTAGGCTGTGCTAATGCACAGTAGCACATTTGCATGCTTTTTTAGTGACAATGCACTAATGTCACAATTTTTATGTGATGCTGTAATGCGCAGTAAAATAGTCTACTGCACATTAAAGTGCACCTGTAAACGCACCCTGTGTAAAGTTGTTTGGGGTTTGTTTACACCTCCTGGAATATGGTGACTAGCTAAGATCATGGGGGATGGAAGCCAACTACAGAATCTGTATTCCAACCCCTTTGGGAGCAATGTGATAACTGTTGTGAGCCCCTCCAACAAACCCAGGGAGGAGCACACATGGTATGTGTTTCTAAGGTTTAAATGTTTATATTAATTTTGACAAATGCCTCCCAGGCCCGTGTTCATCAGAACAAAGCAAAAGCAGGTTTAGAAGCAGGTTTTTGCTGGTAATCTGCCATAAGGTAGCAGAAGCCAAAGCTGCTGCTGCTGGCACAGTCATTCCTCAGTTTTAAATAAAGGCACCAGAAAACATGGATGTTAACAGCTGTATATACCAGTGGCCCTCTTGTTTGCAAGCACATGGTACACGTGGATGTACATTTGAGAAACAAATGGGTGAAGGGAAATTTTTTTTACCAAAAGCTGCTGGTTTGAGCTGTAAACTAACTTAGATGCCTATTTGTCCTGAGTATTTGCTTGGGCTCAGAGCTTGCTTGAAATGAAGTAGTTCTGAAGCAGCTGACATTCCCAAGGACAAGGACAGCCTGAGATCCAGAGTTCTGCTTCTGACTCTGTCAGAGTCTCACCCTAGTTTCTGTCTTCTGGGTAGCAGGGATGCTGCTGTCTGCTGCCCTGGAGCATAAAGAGGTTTTATTCATTAGTACCTGAGCAGTACTTAGAGAGCTTCTGCTCAACATAGCTGTGCGAACTAAGTGCTTGATTCTGTTGGAGCCTTGGTCTTTCTGCCAATGCACAGACATGCCAAGAACTTCTGTTAACTTTACTCTGAGTGGTTGGCTCTGCCAGCTGGAGAGCTAACTGAACAGGTCCTGCTGGCAGAAAGGATGCACTACCAGTGCATTAAGTATCTCCCTTTCCAAGGCCTTCCATATACCCATGGCAGTGTGGCTGCCTACGTCCATCTGGGGCTTGGAGTAGAGCAGTGCGTGAGAGCCATAGTCCAGTACTAATGGGCTCTGGTCTCTTGAAGGATGCAGAGGGGAACACTGAGCCCTTTGTTGTGAAGGTCTGGAACCAGTACATTGCCGAGAAGCAGGACTATCTGAGAGAGCTACAGAATGAGCTGGGACATGTGATGTAAGTGTTGCAGCCATTGATTCCAACATCACTGCTGTTTTATTTGGGGAGAACCTTGGTGTGGGAGCTCCTGCCTGGAAGGGAGCCAGGGTGTGCAAGTAAAGAGAGCACCTCAGAGGGAGGGAAGGAGCAAAGACTGAGCCAGCTTTGGCAAGAACACGACCCAAAGGCTATGTGGCAGTAAGATCCAGTGATCGCAACCAGGCTGAGCTCTGCTGTGTGAGCCACATTACTAACATAAGTAACTGCCTCTGCCTCAAAAGGCTCACAGTTTTAAAGACAAGATGCAGCAACTGGATGAGGCAGACAAGGGTGTTGGGGCAGGCAATCAGCCTAGGAAGGCAAGAAGGATTCCTGGCTGGTGGGGAGCAGCTGTCACAGCTGGTCCTGCCCAACCAATATGTTTTTTAGAACCAGATTTTCTCCTTGCCTTCACCTGCCTGGTTACAATCAAACCACCTTTCCAGCTGCCATCAGCCTAGTGCTGTCAAAGGCACCACTGCAACCTTCAGGAGAGCGCTCCTGATTGCAAATGTGTGGGGTGACTGATAAGGAGCACATAGCTTCTACCTGCTCACCCTGCTCCACATACCCCTGCACCCTTTGGTGTGTCTGTGTAAACCAGGATGTGCGACTCAAATCTTATTTTGGGCCACACGCAAGATGCATTTTCTGGTGGAGGCTGGCAGTAGCAGGAACCACTCTGATCAAGCCTGTGCCCGAAGCACATTCACAGCAGCACACTGGAGCACACAAGGGTGCTGTTTAATGATCTTCCCTGCTGT